TATATGACTTTTGATAATAGAACAAATACATACATATATTTGCTTTAAATTATACAAAATCTCGTTAGTTTGAACTTGTGAAAGTATTAGTTCCTAGATGCTATCTGAATGACACACTAGAAACAGCAGGTGAGCTAACCATCTGTACATTAGCTATTGCCGACTCTTACAGTCATTTTACTATTCAAGGTGCAAGGCAATCTCGTTGTGCTTAATGGCACTTGTCGTCAAGCTGAAGACAGAGTCTGAACGAGAGTGATTTTTTTGCGGGGACGGACATACATTTCCCGAGGACAAAGAGGAGAACCTGACAAACACTCGGTCGAAGCGGATGAAACCATTGGCAGCCCGAAGCCCGGACGCGTTGACCAATTGCTTAAATTTTCTCATCAGTTATAAAGATGTACTCGTGAGACACTGCACTTTAACAAACAGATCTGTACTTTGAAAGAGAAGGTACAAAGGCTTGCGATAGTGTCGCAAATTATGATACCCGTTTTGTACACATACCAAAGAAAAACACGTCCTACCAGCCCTTCATACTGGCCTAAGTAGAGCAGGCACCGATTAAGCCGTCCTTCAATGCGTAACTATGCAAATCAGAAAGCAATGCTAGACGTCGATGGAGCAAATTTCACTTCAACATCTTACTGCTAACTGCTCTCTCGTATATATGAGACAGCTGCTACAGCTACCAACCAAGTGTCAAAGTTTGAATTAAACAGGTCGAGTTCTTTTTGCTATACAAAAGTTTTGCACTAAGCGACCATGTCTCGTCTCAAGGGAGGATACAGATCGCGCGTGCGCCAGGGCATAAGCTTTGCTAGTCCTAAACGATTCTTGCCGTAATGGGTTCCAAAATAAATGTTTGGGGTGAGAGTAACCTATCTGCTTCACCAGAAACTGATAACACTCCTAGTCAGTCCGCCGACAACCAACCGCTCTACATGGAAGCGGGCCACCTCTTGCTCATCGAGCTAAGTAAGCGGATGGCGACCTTTCCGCGGCTGGCTCTCGTGAGCTATCATAGCTACTTCGACACGCCGATTCTCGACTCCAAGATGTCCAGCATGCTAGCGATACCAGAATCAGAATCTTTTTGAAATGCTCTCATTTACCACGCCATCGAATCGAGCATTGAGCGTCCCTCGATTCAAAAACTTACTACTTTGGAACAGAGGAATGCTCAGGTATAGGGGTGGCTAAGACGGTGCTCTGTTTCAAGCAGAGCGCTTCACATCAGACTTGCTCATAGAAGTGGAATCTTGAGATGGCTTTAGCTAGCTGTCATAACGTACGTTCTCGTCAGAATTATAAAAGCTGTTTTGCTATGACTGTGGATAGTCTGCTTAATCTTGTGGACAACAGACACTGAATTTGTAGATAGGCAAGAAAACACTAAATGAGCAAGGGTTGTCTGGTCTCGGCATCATAATGTTGCTTTTGCGCATTCTGGCTCTCATTCAGAGGGTCGCGTTCTCAGCGTATGGCTCTGTATCTAAGTTTATATATTTGATACTCATTAACTTTATGAGTTTGAGACTCATTACAGTTCCTAACAAAGCTGTTATCAGTAAGTCCAATCGTATCAAGAGTCTTCTCCCTATTAAAAGCAGAGCCATGTTTGTGTTAGCGTTAGAGAAACCTAGGTAACTAAGCATTTGTCGATGCATGTACTGTTTTCTCTAGCGTACTGAATGGGTGGGGGCAACTCACTATAACATTGTGGTCTCGCCGCGTATATGAACCCGGCAAATATTCTCGACTACGTGATAACGCGTTTGTCAGACTGTCTGTGTATGATCGGCTGTTGACATGTTTAGCCTGGCACCTAGCTATACAAATAGAATTCACCAGAACTTTGCTGTAAAATTCGGATCTCGCTTTGACACAGTAGCCACCAACACGCTTTTTTGGCGAGAAAACTTGTCCAACAACATCTAGGCTGTATCACAGCTGGTCACGCTATCGCTGGCATCAGCGAATTGGGCCATGTCGCAAGAAGGTTCACAAATACCACAACATCGGCCGTCTTTGAATAGCCAATACTTAAGTCTATACTTATGGCCCGCCGACGTCCTGCCAAAGACGGCAGAGCCGGCAGAGCTTCGACAGATGTGGTGAGGTTTGATTCGCTGACACTTTTGAATCTTGCGTACACTACTTGAACATGTCTGCCACCAGCACCCTAGCAGTCACTGAGAAGTATGTCATTTCTTCAACCGGGGCGGTCGCCCAAGGGAACAATGTGCCTTGAAGGGATTTTGTACCTGAGGTCCTTATCAGAAGGTACCACTATCTTGTGGGTCCGTGATGTATATCAGCAAGATTTGAGATGAGGCATATCGTTCAGATATGTAACCGTGTCGACGTCACTATTGTGACATTCGACTGTTCATAGTCGGGACGACACGAAAGCGCATCCACCAACCAACAAGCTAACACAGCTTACACCTTACTTCAAAAGTCTACTCAGCATAGAAAGAGATCCATCGTGTCATTCTTCGTAAGCAATTCGGTGATGACGTTGCTCTGCACAACAACGCATGAACAGCATAGATCACAAATGGACTATATGAACTCAGACGCTGACACAGACATACTCTGTTGCAATTGGATCCTTATCGTAAAAAGGGGTAATGCTTTTTTGTCGCTTTAATTTGAAAAGATTTACACTCAATTTCGCGTACACGTCCAATGGCGTCTGGCAGGAGTGTAGCGTAGCGTCTGGCAAAGACGGAAGCGTCACAGATGACTCTTTTTTTCTCCATGGAATGGCCGATACAGAATTGGTAGGGCCAGAATTCGGACACACACGAGGCTTTAACTGCACTGAAGATCGCCTATTCTGTCGCGTCCGAGCTCCATTTAACATGGATGCGTAGCGCATGTCCCCGTCTTGAAGAAATTGGTCAGGGCTGGACCACTCTATCTGTGCAAGTAGTTGACCAAACCGATTTTGTAATACCCTGTATGACAAATACTATGGACAATTCTCAATAGTGCTTCCCAGTGAACAAACCTAGAAATTGGATCTCTTTAGCGGCAAAGATACATCAGTCTATATTGAAAAAAGCTTATTGATGCGCTATCACTCGATACTGGTCACAGCGCTAAATCTGGCTAACCACGTTCGACTCCTCCAGCTCTGTACGGTTGTGGACGAGTACGTTATTGAAATAGGCTTGTGCATAGCCTTGTTGTGACCAACACAGCTGTGCCACCCGACAATTAATTGTTGCTGGTCTTGATATCTACTGTGATATGAAGATGCACCCGCCCGAACTTTTTACTAAAGTGAGAGAGGAGTCCCTTTTTCTCATGAGCTGTATTCATATTCAGCAGCTAGGACCAGAACACTTCATAAGATGCAACCAACCATGCTGTTCCATGTTGCAGCATAATCTTTCGGAAACGGTATTTGCGCTGAATCTTGGCCGTATTTGGCTAAATGTAAATCCGCGCAATTATCTACTTGTCGATAGCCTTTCTGACGCAAACATTTGGCGCTGAAAGAGAAGGGATCATGTTGACACAAACTTGTTTTGTGCTGCACACAGAAATTTATCATTGCCGTCACACTGTCCTTTTGGTGTGGGCCATTGCCACGCGACGCATCAATTGATTTCGGGGACCAAGTTAAACGAAGACACACCCGACTATACGGGAGTAGCATGCAAATTGTTTCTCATCACCACGTCATGATACTTTTTTCTATGAAGAAAGAAGGGATTTGTATTATCCTTAAGGATGGCTGTCCAAATTTTGCACATAATGCTCAGAGTGACACGTTTTTCCATGACGGAAGACGAATCAAGTTATTGCTCCGACGCCAACCATACCGTTTCGAGAGCCACACCGTCATGTAATGTTTTGTGAGCTGTAAACATATACTCTAGCGCAACGAAAGCATCTATCGGGCGCAGTGGAGGGGGCTTGTAATGCGTGAACATACCTCCGCACGGTAGGCATGTCTCATGATTATGCTACCGTTCTATTCATGACAAGAACAAGTCATTAACTTTTGAATCATGCCCTCTATTGCGTATCAGAGTTGCTCATCAATTCCCGTTCTGTCGCGGGAGATAGCGGCGTCCAGATTTCTATAATCCCCTCTAGCTCTTTTGCACGATCTCAACCTCCTTTGTAAGTTACCTTCCCCACTGGAAATACTTTCTAATGAGCACATGAGCTCGTAAATGTCACGACACAAATACATTGAGAGACCACGAACTCGTCTATTCGTCTTCCGCGGCTCGTGCCTTTCGATCTATGCTTCAGGTACATAACAAATTACTGCAAAACAATTTTATCTTCTATCCTGCACAGAAGCTATCGCAGCTTTGCGTCCATCTGCTTTCTGGCAGAAGTGGGCTCATAACTGACCAAAGTTCCACCAGACGATAAGTGGGTGCACCCAACTTTCCGACTTCTAGTCGATTCATGGCTCATGACGCATAAGACATGATAATCATAGAGTAGGATCATACTTTTGATCCTGGTCTGGGACGAGGCAACGTTCGATGGAGCTAAATCTCCCAAATTTCACATGAAGTTCAACATGATCTCCGACATATTCTCGTCTCAAAAGTCTGTATGAGGGACCATCGCTGCCTCTATTGCTTTGGAACGTCGCCTGTTATGTGTCATTCAGCGAAGTATTAGGTCTTTTAGTCCGGCTCTGAAAAAAACTGGGGTGTTGATTTAAACAACCAACAACGCTGGTCCGCAAACGCTAATTCTGAAAAGAGCCGCTCCATTTAGTGCTGAGACAACAGCTTCAATCCCTTAAATTTACCATAGAACCCACTTCAGTCCAAGTTGACGAATAACTTCGACCACTTCAATTTATCATAGAACCCAGTTCTGTCCAAGTTGGCCTACTGTAATTACACATTTCCCCTCCAGAGTTTTGCTGAACGACTTTGCGCAGAAGGTTCACTTTTATACGTCTCTGTCGAGAGCAAAGCGCCGACCAGACCTAGGTTGTTTGGACGACCATGGATAAGAAATCTGCGAGTACTCGGGGCCGTTTAAGATTCGAGAGTTTACCCTCTACGTTTTTCATGGCCGATTTATACCACCTCGGGTGTGCTTAGAAAAATTTCACCTCTCATAATCCGTCCAGACTCCGAACTCCGCTTTTCGACATTGACCGCTTCATTCGAAACGTTGGGTTCAATGCAGAAGGTCTTTGGTAGAATTGCTTTTATCGTAAATTTAGAAATGAAGATGGATTTGGCCCGAATTCGGAAGTTGATCAGCCGCCATCGTTGCAATAAAGGTTTTGGATACTGAAACATAGTGCGCTAGTTTCTGACCTCATTGACAAGTAGAAAGACACTTGGAGCCAGATCTAGTACGCCTGATTAGGCGCTGCAAACATTCGCCGTATGCCTAACACGTTTTCATGTTGAAAGAAATATATTCACAAAGGCAATACGCATTAGTACACTTTCAAGCGCAAGGGTCTAGCTTGAAGACCGCAAACTCGATGCGCTGTTAGTTTATCTAGTAGATAGCCAGTCACATGGTTATTTCAGCTTCTTCATCCTTCACACTTTCTCTGTCTCTGCCCTCAAAGGGCCTGACGCTCAACATTAGCAGCTCCACGGTGCATGTGACTTTTGCTTTCATGCACTTCTAGCTGGAGCGTTTCTAAAAATGTCTTCTTTGCGCATCCTAATCGCTGGCGAACACCTTCAGACAAGTGATTACCACCTCTACCATTTGGGTCACGGTTCCTGATCCGTTTGGGACTAACGATTGATATAAGATTTCCAGGTGCATTTGGTTGTGCCGAGTACAGGTACTTAAACAGCTCGCGTTTCATCATCAAAGAAGATCCATTCCATTCTCGAGCCGGTTGTGAGATTGACTACAGCAACAATAAAGTAGATTGGGGTTAGTGAATCTTAAAATGAGGAAGTCTAGCCTCATAGAGCCCACAACAGCAGATACAATCAGGTTGAGCTGGTACGCTCCGCCCAAGAGCGAAACATAGAGCTACTCATGTGACCAGTTACCTAGTGTTCTCTTCTAAGTTAATAGCATCCTACATTTAGGATCAATGCATTTCAAAAACATTCTAAAATACAAGCTTTAGTTTGTTTGTTGGTAAAATTATTGACGTGGAGAAGAGATTATATCTACCAAGTGTGGGGTGGGAGAGGGAATTCAATTGGTGCCGATGCATATTATGAAAATTTTCAGTATAATAAATATATATACTATTTTTGAGCTAGCATTAATGATACATATCGTCTTGATTTTAAGGTGAGAAAATTGCTTGAATCGCTCTTGGTTTGGTATATAGCCTTTGACATCATCCTCTGTGTGGGATCCACGCCGCATTTGGGTGGCACTGATCATCAACCCAACGATGAGTATGAATAAATTGTGACTACGTTTCTGGCCTCAAGATAAAGAGACAAATTTAGTCTCTGTCTTCTAACTGGTCCCAACAGATAGCGCATTTGGCGGCATGAGGCCTAGAAGGGATAAAAGCTTGCATAGAAGTGTTCACCAGCTGTAAATTAGCAGTGATCAAAACGTCTCAAACGACGCATAACAAAAGTGGATATGAAAGAGTGATTTTTTTCTGCAAAACATCCCAATATTTTGGCTCGAGATGAGGCAATCCTTTTCCAAATATGAGAGATCGAGGTAGTCACGAAGTCGGCCGTGCTTCAGATGGAGCAACAGTGCGCAAGAATGAACACAAACGTACTTTTCGACCGGGAATGAGGCTTTTGTATTATGGAAACTATACAGTTGACAGATACCGCGAATTTCTGCATTTCCTATTAGGGTGGCCATTGTAAATAGAATACTTCTGCATCTGTCAAGGTCTGAGAGACTCAATAGACCATCTTGAGTATGAAAATTATATAATTGCAGGGTACAATAACGAGGAGGTTCCGTACGGGTGTTAGCGTCCACCTAGCCCTCTTCAGAGTGATAACTTTGAAGCAGCATAAACATTTTGGGCCGTGAGGGCCGGATGAGGCACAGAAAGTAGAAACTTTATAAATGCGTCCTAGGAGATAAATTTCAAACACGCTGACTATGAAGAGAGTGTTTTCTTAGCTGTCGAGCAGCGCAATGGTGCCAGCAGATGGCACAGCTGCGGAAATAGCAACATATTGCGCGCTGCGTGCACCCTACTCACCTCGTTGAAAGGTACGAAAGATCAACTTTCTCGAAGATTTACTTGACTTGCCGCCCATGAAAGTATTATGGTGTCCCAGCAGCGCAGGCCTCACAAGAATGAGTAGGGTAAAAGAAATCTTGTTGTGATTGATTTTAGTTTATTAAGAAGCCAGTCTCACTGAGAGAGGCATTGCTGACAATCTGAAGTTGTAATTGTTAACGGCAGCCACCTGGGCTTTCGTAAGTCATGAAAAGCCCTAATAGAAGTAGAAGCACCGTTCAATCGGGTGAGGCGCGTGGATGTAAGAATAGTTGACAGTACGCAAAATCATTTACGATGCGAAATGCGAAAAGCTTATATGTGCATCCTGCTACAGTAACACTGATGGGGTCAGAGGGTTTGTCTATTGTCGAATTTTCACTTGATCATTTCCCTCAACTGTAAGGAATTTGACAGCTGGAGACAATGTTCGGAATTGAATGTTCGGCCTTGGATTTGTGATACAAAATCACCTTTGGTATGGCGAGGCCCGAAAGCTGTGAGTCATGGATCGGCTGGAATTTTTATTACGCGCCGCACGCTTTAACCCTGGTAGAGCTGAGGTCATGATGTTACCCATACAAGAAAGATAAAATCACTTTTGGCACAAGCATGGAATTGCGATAACCTTTGAGCAGAATATCGAGCTATTACAACGATATTGTTGAGAGTCTTGAATGAAGGGAGAAAATGCAATGAGTCGCGGTTTCCAAATGAAACAAAAACTAGCAACCCTGCGTCGCGGTCTCTAGAGTGAATAGACGGGATATCAGCGTGCATCTTGGAGAGGTAAATAAGTGCACTGCAAGCTGGAGTCCTCTCATAGGATAACTTCGGTGGAAGAAAAAAGAGCGACTTTGTGCCGCGATTTCTAGAGCACAATCAGGCGACTGTAAATTAAAACTTGAATGATGCTGCGACGGATGATTTATCACCGTCGCGGTGTGACCTGTTATACAGCCTGGAACACCGTTGACGCGTGTATCATGCGAAATAGAGAATTTGCACAGTTTTGTGGCGAGCAAATTCATTCACCTGCGTGTGCGTGGCACCAGACTAAATATGGGCAACGCATACAATTTCAGGGAGATGGTCAGACAGGATGCGTATGATCCCGTTCATTGGTTTTGAATCGAATATCACTATGCATAGCTTTTCAGGGTAACTCCGCCTTCATAATAGTGTAGTCCGTCCCCGTGTCCCGTTAACATCACCACGATGTGGCTTAGGTCATGTTAGGTTTAGGTCATCGAAATTGTTTGACTTGCTGTTAGCAGTCCGGTTTCTCTTCATGGCAAAATTGACAATTTCATCTCGGCGTTGTTGTCCTCTTCTCAGCAAGCCGATGAGGCGTCCGGTTAGCTTTATTGGCCTTTTACGTTGCTCCACTCCTATATAGTTTCTAATGGACTGTACAATAAAGTGTTCGAGCATTCCTGATGTCACGCCATCTCCGTCTATATACTTTCGTCCGCCAATCTTTCAATTTTCCCGTGAATTGGCTAAAGTATGAAGAGGCTCATCTTTGTTGTTGTCTGATTATTACTGCACATAAAATGTAAACTCAAGGGTAACACGCTATGAGACCGGCCAGTAAATCCAGTTGAACAGTAGGCGGCTTCATGGCTGTCAGAATATCTCTGTGGCATAGCCAACATATCGCGATTCAGAGGACATGGTAAGATGATGTCTCAGTACACCAGAATGTAGGCAGCAAATCCTACTCTAGATAGCTTCATACATCAGTGATGCCTGCCATTTCATCCTTATTAGTAATTACACTCCTCACAGCACTAGTCCCTTAAAGTTCCCGATTTGATTTCACTCAAGACTGAAAGCCGTAACGCAGTTCTGGGCGTCACATTTCCGGGCGCGGCCAGTCAAACTAGAGCTGTTGCGTAATGTTTTATTCATGATATTTTACATCATCTGTTTCATTGACAAATCAAGAGTCTTGAAGACTAGTGTGGTCGCACACTTGACAGTTAAATTTTCTGTCTGACGGCGTGAAGTATGCGAAAAATATGTTGTTCAATTTGATCTGTCTGCGTACTGTCATAATCTGTTTGGCAAAAGTGCCCCGGCATTCTTGTTAGAAAACGTCGACACTAGTCCGCGAAACGACTGGCAACAACTTTACCAGCTGATATAATGCCTGAAGCCCATTTCAATTTGAACTTGCCGAATTATCCGATTGCAACCGACCGGAGTCAAGGGGCTACGGCTATCATACTACTATTACTGGACAAACTCCATGATTAAATCCAAGGAGTTATTATCATAACATCTTTTCGCAAGTATAGGTGTACATAATTATGAACAACACTTGATTTAGGCAAAGTCTGGAAATAATATGAGTCAAGGACTTAGTAAGGCAGTAAGCCTTGCATCCAGCCACTCGCATATTAATGACATACGCGTTGGTGCAAATATCACACGACGATTGCGACATTAAAGTCCATTGAGATTTTTGAGAGACGTTTCACGCCGAAAAGATAAAAAGCAAAATTGATGAGTATGGCTGATGTGCACCTGATTATTTTCAAAGTGGTGGAGCTTAGCTGTAAAGGAAGTGAAATAAAGACTGCTACGCTGTGCTACAGTGGAAGACGAAGAAATGGTGAACTGCACTCTCACACGAAGCACGTGAATAAGCCTTAATGCTTGCATCCGTCATAAATATTGATAATTGCCTTCAAGACGTATTCGTGGGCACTTTAGTATATGACGGTAATTTTGGATTAATATTGACACCAGAATTATCTAACAAGGTCCACCAACTTAATACACCAGATTATGCATCGAATAAGATCACTTGATCACTTGCATAATCTTTCCAATGTGACAGAGATGACGAGGACTCTTCATTATGCCTTCGCACCGCAGTCACTAAGTTTTAGCGAAAATTCATACATATTCCACTTTAGTTTTGCTTTTTCGCGAATAACTTATTCTTTACTAGAAGCTAAAGTCTTTATTAGAGTCGATGATTATGACGACACAATGTTGTAGCACCACCGAGTGCAAATTAAATTGATTTTAGCAGAATCATATGTTGCCATTACAAGTATGTTACCAATGCAGTGATGTGTGACTCGTGCAAGCATAGATCAAAACACATCTTTTATCCTGGAGCCAGCTCTAAGTAAATATACTGTGAGATAAAACCTACTGTGAAACAAATTCTGATTTGAGTACTTTTCTTTACATATGCCCGCATTACAGATATAGTAACTTTCATTGGCTAGCGGCATGGTTTAACCATCCCACTGGCCAAAATGTAATAGTTTTAAGTATTGAATAGTGTAAGTATGTAAATTGTCCCTAAAAATCAATCGAATAGACTCCGTTCGCGCCACCAATCAAGCTCTTGCATGAAGTGACACGTCCTGTGGGCTTCGACCCTCATACTGCCTGAGAGTTAGCGGAACCCCTGGAGCAACTTCTTCGCCACTGCAGAATGCAATAAATCTTATCCCCAAACGGGTTCACCTTACCCCACCAAGGCGATATATGCTTGATTTAAACTCGTAGCTTGATTGATTCAAAGTTATTGTAAGATAATCTCGAGATTTTTTGAATAAATCCCTGGTGTAGCCGACAGCATTATGATAATGGTCTGAGCTCATCAGACTCTGAATCGCTAAAGTTTCGCCGCGTATAGTCGCCGTTACCTGCAGCGCTGCGCTCATAATAATCTCCACCAACATGGCGATTGGTACCAAGTTTGTATGATAGAACATAGCTTTTTGACATTTAAGTTTAATTCTAATAATAGCATAGAGCAAAAAAGAGCCAATTTTAGAAATATAGTGCTTAATGTAATGAATGGTAAGTACTTATAATATAAGTTCGAGATTACAATTATCGTAGTAGTAGAGCGAGCTGGTATACCGAATTCACGGATTGGGACCAACCATGCAATCATCGCCTGCAACGCGGGCGGCACTTTAAAAGCAGTTAGATAGGCAACAAAATTAGCTATTCAACCTTATAACATCAATCAGCATTGGGTCGAGAAGGATTTCTTACGACCCAGAATCTACAGCCAGTCCAGCAATCTACTTTAATACTTTAAATATATTACTGTACATACTAAATATTTCAGTTCTGCAAAATGTAGAGAGAAAGTATAATGAGAAATCTAGCAAACTGAAAGAGTTTTCGATTAAGCTACTCGCACCTATGCATTGATGTCACGGCACTCAGTTCATTGGCATCAATATTAAGGCATACATTGCTCGAGCCCTAGCGCTTAATTCAGGCGTCATCACTTTACGGTTCCACGCCAAAACATCCCTTTTATTTTTACATGACTGATACCGAACCCTAGCGTCATCGCTGTTCCAACTTTCAGCTCTAATTGGATTCGGACCTTGTATCGAATTTTTCCGCACAATACTTGTATGTCAACTGGGTACAGCTCAAAAAAAAAAAATCTGTCTCGTAGTGGTCACGTCAGCTCTTTCGATATTCGGTTCACATTTGAAGGTGCCGATCGCGATTGAAGTTGGAGTGGCTGCTCTCTTCAAGTTGCTTGGTGGACGTCCACAGATTCGCATTACGCAGTATTTTGCCACTATTGGTGAAATTACCTGCGGTCACCAGTAGGATCAGATAAAGTGGCCTTTAAGAACATTTTAAGCAGATGAATCAGATGCAATTTAATCCAGCGTAATTAAACCTATTAGCAAACAACATTGACTCGAACATTCATTGCAACTTGAATTCCCTTCGGATTTTTTTACAAATTAACGAAATTGATCGTTTCACTAACACATCGCAAGTACATCGCATGATCCAAACTTTGAAGAAAAATACGCATTTTGCTATTTCCTACCCAACCGCTGGTCAGTCTGCTGCCAAATGATTCACAGCATAACTTTGCCACTTAACGATGCTAAAAGCAAAACATCATATGGCTCTATTAAAAGCAAAATACCAACGACTGCAGAGTCATCCAACCGTGTCAGACAATGGTATATCAATATGGCTATGGTCAACTTTGTCGAATTTGCTGCAGAGGCCTCCCGTGGTGTGGTTCTCGCCACACTCTTTTTGTATGCAAAGTCACTCGGTGGCACGTTAGGTTACATGGGATTACTTACGTCTCTCTTTTCAGTTGGACGCCTTATTTCGTCAATGCTGTTTGGATGGATGTGCGACCACTACTCCTTTCGCTCTGTCTACATTGCATCATCCAGCTTTTGTCTATTTGGCAATGTAATGTTTTTGCTGGCCGAGGGTCGCGCGGCTGGAGGCTTGATTGTGCTTTCAGCAAGTCGCTTCATTGTAGGGTTTGGAGCTGGCAACCGCAGCGTCTGCCGCGCAGATGTGGCTGCCATGACGACAGTCGGACAGCGATTGCAGTACATGACAATTTTGTCCACAGTTGAGTTCTTGGCCTACGCACTTACACCAGGACTTGGAAGTTTAGTGGCCAGCATTGATACATTCGTCTTTGGTATTCATATGAATCAATTTACAGCACCGGGTGCCATTTTAGTTATGCTCAACGTCATATCCATCTTTGGATTGCTTTTCGGATACGATACGTCTGTGACTTCTACTGACGGTCCACAGAATTCAGAGGCTAAAGTCCAAACCAGTCGCGACCAAGTGAGCCTGCCCGATCGTGTCGTCTACATTGGTGCGATTGTATATATATTTTTAAATTTTAACGCGAGGGGAATGCTATCCGTATTCGAGACAGTAAACATTCCACTTTTTCTCGACGTCACTGGAAAGGATCCGAGCACAGTAGGCGCTGTTGTAGACGCGTCCAACTTTCAGTTTTATCTGGGTTTACTTGGACTAGTTTCATATTTTTCAATTGAATACTTTCGCAACAGTATCTCCGACGTGATGTGGGTATTACTGGGTTTTCTTTCACTACTTGCTGGCAACGTAATTCTAGCAGTGGTGCCGGTTGCAAACCTGTCGCTCGGCCTTCTTGGCGTTGCAGAGATGTTGGTGTGGAGTATAGGTTGTCCTATCACGACTGCGGTAGGTGTGGCCGCCTTCTCAAAGCTTTTAGGAGGGCGTCCGCAGGGTACGCTCATGGGGTTATTTGGCTCGGCCGCTTCGGCCTCGCGCATTATATTGCCTCTCATCCTAGGTACCATCTCGGAGCTGACGCCAGTATTCTGGGTTAACATTTCGCTAAGTGTATTGAGCGTTGTGGTCTTGTGGTGGTTTAATCACCTTGTTAAACAATCAAAGATGGACTTGTTGTCGGTCGGCAGTGAAATTGTGCATCCACCCAGCGGTGTTGTCACTAAGGACTGGGCTTAACAATTCTCCTCACTAACTTTAACGAATCGTCTCTTATCCAATTTTTTTGTGATGGTGATTTTGCTCATGATACTTGATATATTTCCTATTCTTCGACAAGCCAGTGAGGTAGACTTTCAAAAAATTTAAAGCTGAATATATGAAGATCCTAAATTAGTTCAAGTGACCAGCGTAGATAACTGGCCGCATAAACCAGCTGGCCCTTGCAGGGGACCTTACGCGCTCCATATCTCTCAATGCAATATGTAAAGACTCTTTGCTATAAGAGTGCACACGACCATTATGTAGCACTTCACAATTTCCCAGATGGCGAAAGGTTTGAGGCCAAGACACCATAATATTTGTCACATGTTTTATGTTTCCCTAGCCCTTGTGAAAAATGACAGCAACGTCGGTCATGGTTTCGCGGCATAAAGAGCAAAGCAGTTTATTCACCCATTGACAGTCGCTTAAACTTCATACAATTTCGTCGGGAGAGCTTTTTCTATCGATCTAATCATGGCGTAAAGTAAAGTTGCCCAAGTTCGTAAACTATCAAGCGGTTTATTTTCCCACAAACATGTTTGGATATTCCTGCTACATAAACAGTACCAAGCGTGTCCTGAAAAGCTGTCGCCCAGCCCCGTCAATCCTTCACTGATCCGCTCATTCAATATTCCTCCAAGCCACGCCCACTTCACCGTGTTTCAGGTCTCCAACAATGACTGTGTTGTCCCTGAATTCCGGAAATACTTATGGCACTGCTGAGCATACAAATGGCAAGAACTATAACGTGAGTCCACGACGCCGCCTATCGCAATGGTATACGAACATGTTCATGATCAATTTCGTCGAGTTTGCCGCCGAATCTTCGCGTGGTGTCGTACTCGCCACGCTCTTTCTCTACACCAAATCTCTCGGCGGTGATCTGGCCTTTATGGGCATGCTGACGTCGCTATTCTCGGTAGGCCGTCTCATCTCTTCCACAGTCTTCGGTTGGATGTGTGACCACTACTCGTTTCGTTCGGTGTACATTGTGTCCTCCGCAATTTGTCTAGTGGGAAATGTTATTTATCTCATCGCGGACCAGCATGTGGCTGGTAGTCTGACGGCGCTTGCGGTCAGTCGGTTCATTGTTGGATTTGGAGCTGGAAATCGCAGTGTGTGTCGTGCCGACGTGGCATCAATCACGACTATAAATCAACGACTTCCGTACTTGACATTGCTAGCCACGGTCGTTTTTCTCGGCTATGCTTTAACTCCTGGTCTAGGCAGTCTGGTAGCCACAACTGACTCATTTATATTTGGTATTCACTTTAACAAGTTTACTTCACCTGGCATGATCCTGATCGTGTTTAATGTTTTAACAATCATCGGTATGCTAACGGTGTATGATGAGTCTGTGGGTATTCATGATGGCCCACCCGAGTCTCCAAGAACGGCAGCTACAAGCAACACGCTGAGTGATCCGACTACGATGCCAGAACGAATTGTAAATATTGGCGCGGCAGTTTTCATTTTTTTAAATTTCAATGCACGAGGCATTCTGTCCGTATTCGAGACAGTAAATATTCCCCTTTTTATCGAAGCGACTGGGCAAGATCCTGAAAGTGTGAGTGCCGTGGTAGCTGCATCCAATTTCCAGTTTTACCTGGGACTACTGGGGCTGCTAACTTATTTCTCGATTGAATACTTTCGCCATAGTCTCAAGGACGTGAGCTGGGTGCAGCTTGGATTTATGACTCTGCTAGCAGGTAACATGCTGTTGGTTGTGGCTCCGGCACAGCTCTCGTTCTCGCAGCTTGCAATCGCGGAATTTTTGGTGTGGAGCGTGGGCTGCCCAATCACAACCGCTGTGGTGCTGGCTGCTTTCTCGAAGCTGCTCGGCGGACGCCCTCAAGGCACGCTGATGGGACTTCTTGGTTCCGCCGCTTCAATTTCTCGTATTGTGCTTCCACTGCTTCCAGCAGCAATCCCTACGTTAACACCAGTATTCTGGATTAACATCGTGTTGTGCGCAAGCAGTATGGTGCTCTTATGGTGGTACAGCAGACTGGTACACAAAACAAAGATGGCGATGCTTGCCGATGTTGAGAGCGCGTTTCGGATCGTGTCGCCTGCGAATGACCCTCGATCTCCGCTGGGCTCGGACAAAGCTGATTTTCCAGATAAATAATTTTTCGAGCTTTCCGACGCGCAACTAGAGCTCATCGTCGACGGGCTTTGTTTAAGAATGTGATGTGCAATTCATGCCACGTTGCGCGTGCAGACGCTTCATGTATCGTATAAGCGGTTGTAATAAGTAAATGTCAAGGTTTCCTATCTACTAAGCGATAGAAAACCTTCTCGTCTTTTTCGCCAAGTCAAATTTCATTCGCGTATATTCACCTGCAAAATGATGAAGGTTAATCAAATCTGATATTCGCATGCGACTGGTACTCCATTCGTTTCACAGACCGCGCTGGTCCTCAAGTAATTAGCTACAAATGCTAGCATTTCACTGGAATGTCACGTTCACGCCCACTTTTATACCATCATTGAAATAAGCTTTTGGGCTGATGGCAACAGACAAGAGACCTGTTTTGTGCTACAGGCACTTATTTAAAAGCCGCAGCGATTATCTAATCGCTAATCCAGCAACTAGATGAAGAAGCCGAAACGATGTGGATTAGAAATGGTGAATTTTATCAATACTGCAAGCAAGCTTCCAGATGGGCATCAAAACTTCTGACGATCAAATTATTCCTTAACGAATTGCTCGCATCTTTAACTAAAAGGATAAAATTCAGTTGAAAAAACGCTACCGCAAATTTCTATTTTCAACGAACACAACTTTACCAATGATAAGCTACACTGCTGTATCCCAGCAGTGTCATATTTTGCCAATGGTACACCATTATGATCGTGATCAACATCCCGTCTTGCAGTATCGTGCTACCCGCCCTCTCCCCTTACACTTCATATCTGGGTGGTGTCAATCCTTATCAGATTAATTTATGGTTGCCGATATGCATACAATCAACAACTTGAAAGTGCTTGCGTAGGACTAGGTGGTGGTAAGCTCAGCATGTGTCCCCGAATGTTGCTTCAATTACGACGATCAATAAGCGTCTTTCTTCTAGTCGATGTTTTGGGGTATGCACTGACACGTGATCTTGGCTGCTTCAGCGCCGATACAAACTTACTCTACTTGGGTCTGCATGTCAACAAGTTCATGTCCCAGCGTGATTCTGATTATAAAACCTAAAGTGACAAAATTCGACATTCTATCGAATGAAAAATTAAACGATTAGTTCGATAGAAATCATTGTTATTGGCGGCATCAAATGATTAGTCTTAGCTTAGCTTGCTGGGTTACCGTCGTAAGTAGTTCCGCCACAGCATTTGCGACGAGAATTGGGTATACCTAGACTTCGTTTTCTTATTGTGCTACCACGCAATCTTCTTTTAGTAATGGTTCCAGAAAATATGACATTTGCGTAAGTTTCTTTCGCAGAGTTCTGAGCGTGGCGTATGAATTGCCCACAATGCTTCTTAACGCATTTTTGAAGCTACTAGATGGGCGTTGAATAGAACGCTATTGGGGGTGCTGGGCTCCACCGTGTGCATCACTCGCAGTGTGGTATGGACGCGAATCAGATCAACATTCTTCTGTGGTCGAGCAGCATCGTGTTTCTATGGTAGTATATTGATTTGGTCTACCGAACTAGGAGGCGATTGGAGCACGCATAGACTTACTGCCATGCGACTTGTATACGCAAAATGGTGATTACCATTTGCACCACTGATTTGAGAAAAGTGGTTTTCTTTTCAATACACGGGCTAAATCTAAACAGTACAACACGACGTTGCCCGAGCGGCAAGATGCTGGCTGATGAAATCTAATCAAGAGTTATTTCTATTTGAGTATGATTGATGTAGCTCTAACGCACAGAAGAAGGAAGGATCTCTCCAAATTGTTGATGGCCCGTAGCTTTTGAATGTGATTGTGCCTCCTTCTATACGATACGATAATAATAAAGCCATGAGTTGAGTGACTACAACACACTCATCATTTAGCTCACCTGTCCGACAAAAGTGCTTCTGCACTCCATGCACATAATGTTGAAGCGACCAACGTCAGTAAATTCGTGCTTTTGATGGGCTTCTACCGCTACTTCACTGGCCCGTTCAACCTTCACAATTATGATCGAGTCAGAAGAGCTAGCTTAGCAAACTTATATACCAACCTTACCTTTGTGAAATCATTGATTGCGAATAAAGTCACATCCTGACTTTCAGAAGCTGTTGCAGACGGAGACTCAACCACCAGATCGTAATGAATACCGTCGTAAAGCAGAAACAATCGCTGCGTAAAACCTTGATCCTCACCATAGCACAATCGACTCATGCTCGTGACGTCAAAGACGACCATTTCCACCTTGTAAAATGTCGACAATATCGACAGTTCAATTTCACCACCCCATGACTTATCATCCATAATCCATGCACAGTATTCGTCAACAGGGCGTCCCAAGAACACCTCCGAGTACTTTGCAGAATCTCCAAGGATTGCGTCTTTGATCAGCTGCCGCATCGAGAGACCGTTCCTTTCTTTTTTCTTACCCAGAGCACACGCAATCGAATGAAACAAGCAGCTGTTATCAGCTGGCATGACGCGTCGTATAAATACCGATTTTGACTTGGCCCGCGTGCCGCCAGTCACTGGAGCTTCTTTGAGAACTAGCACTGAACCCGTCCGAACTCCTAAGGACATCAGCGTACTTTCCTACACAATGTCACAGTCATAGATTTCATTCGTATATAAAGCCCACTTGCAGAACATAAGCAATTCTTACGTACGCCCGATCCCTCAATCATTTTAGGAGGATATCCGGTCATTACTGCAATATGGTTATGGCGTACTCTAATACAGTAGGTCAAAGAAAGTATGACACTTACTGTGTTGGTCTTGCGGCAAGATAGACGACTTTTCAAACAATTGCGCACGTAGACCGTCCAGCGTGATGTCACCCGGCAGCCCTGTAAGCTTCATAGAAGTGCCATCAGCGAATGTCACTTTAAAGTTCATCGCCATCGCTGTCTGTTACGCAAATAACTTCTCAAATCACTACTGTAAAGTTTTGACCAATCAAAACAGGCAGTGGGTTTGCGATTACTACGTGCAACACTCCAATAAAATTTTGTTCAAAAACCATTTTGGGACATTACAGCTTAAGTATGCACCCGTTTAATTACGCATCCCAGAAATGTACGCAATTTATTTCGGAAAAAACAGTTTCAACTTTAGTCCTTGAACATGTCGTG